ATTGTTGAAAGAGGCAAAATGTTGATTCATCTGACCACAAAACACGACGAAAATGTCGAGCTGTCCAGTCTTTATGTGCGAGACACCAGGCAAGTCGCCTCGCAGCATTAACAGTGGAAATGAGTGGCTTGGGACGTGCCACACGGGACCACAGATCTTCTTTATGTAACGCACGGCGAACAGTCTTTCTCGATACATTACGTTTTGTTTGAGCAGCAAGAGTAGTGGTGATTTGGGCGAGGTTTAGACGGCGATTTTCACTAGTAACAAGAGTCTTGAGGACAGAACGATCGGAAACAGTAAGAAGCGGTGGTCGTCCCGTCCGAACAGCTTGCGATTTAACGGTTCCTGATTCGCAAAATCTACGAATAACATTACCCACAACAGACTTTCTACAGCCTACGTTAGCTGCAATAGTGCGGTACGAGTCGTTCTTACGGTAACCATATACAATAGCTCCCTTTTGTTCTTCGGTTAAGTCTTTTTCACTTCCCATAGTGCGTTTAATGTGTATCATTGACGAATTAGACGAATTAGCATATTACACGTTTTGTGATACAAATATGATCCGCTAATACATGAACGAGTATCAGCTGAAATGGAATGCGTCTCGAATCAAAGCAAAACGCGTCTTAATTTGGACAAAATGAATCCGTATCGGCTTGGACGAGATGAATAATGAATTTCGGTTTGACGCTAAATTTAAAATTTTACGCTTTTTTATATTTTTTTTGAATCAGTGATTTAAATCACTTGAAATTTTAAAAGAATGTACATTATGATTTAATAAATCTATTAGCTTAGAATTGTAAATCTTGTTTTTTTATTGGTTTTTGCGTTATTGTATTTTAAAAAGTGTCCACAATATTCTGGGAGGCCTCTGTATTATACCCAATTAAAGTATTAGAACTTGTGATCTCTTTCTGTTGGTGATACCACCTCCACCGACACCAGCACCGTTACCACCATTAGCATTCGCAATTTGAGTATTGGCTTGGTTAGTGTATTTGCTAGGTTCCCACCACCATGGATTGGGCATTGGATAGGGCATGGGCATAGGTCTTGCGTCAGATGAAGCAATGAGACAGATCACCAAGAACAGAACGAGACCAACGACTTTGTTAAAGGTAGTCATGATTATTTTTTTATTCGAGTTTCTTGTTTGGTGATTTCAAATTTTTATTACATGTATTTCGAAAGGTGAAGAATGAAAAGTTAGGAGAGAGAACGTTTTATTTTATAAGAGGTTTGTGTTAAGTGCAATAGAAATAGTGTGAATTGCATTGTTTCTAATGCACAGCACATAGCCCACTTGTTGCTATTGCACATAGCCACTTGTTGCTATTACACACAGCCCACTTGTTGCTATTGCACACAGCCCACTTGTTGCTCAGAAGTTATAAAGAAATGATATTAAGCAATGAGAAAATACATGTACACTGGAAAGGAAATGTATGACCGATATACGTAGTATCTGGTTGCGTAACGAATTAAATTTGATTGGCTTGTATGACCTTCGGTTTAAATATGAAATTTTTGATCTCGATACAGCAATAGGATTATCCATCTTCAGATTAACGACTTTCACCTTGTAGCTTCAAAAAATCTTTCTCATTCTCTTAACTATACTCTCGAAATATAGCACTACGAAGATAAGATGGCACGTAACAGTTTTCCGATCTAATCAAGTCTATTAACAAGCATTGTCATTCAGATACGGAGATGTCAACAACGTTGGTCCTCGGAGTATCGTTGCATCCTTATCTGACTCGTCCCCATCTATAAATGTACATGGAAAATCGAGCGACAAAGAAACTTCCATCATCGCCTCTGCATCTCACAGAAAAAGATTCAAGTGCACTCTACGGATCTTGATTCACCAGGAAGAGCTTGCTCGACTTTGCTCGAATGGAGGAGGACACAAGCGAAATCACTATCACCGAAAACGTGCCGCTTAAAGATTATCTCCGTTTTCGCAATAAGGACTCGAATCTTATGATTCGTCTATATTTACATGATGGAAGAATCAAAGCATACGAAGTATCTACCTGATATCTATCAGCATGGAATGATCAGGATTTGGAGTATAGTGATGATGTGACTATGATTCTGGACTAAAACAGTGCGAAGGAGCCTGATTCTTGGGTCCGACCGGTACGACATCCTCGACTTTCACCCGCACAGGCAGCGAAAAAATTGTGAGTGGCATATCCAACTATGGTAATCGATGTTGGTCACATCCAGATCAGAGCCTTTCGGACCTGCATCGAAGGTAGCTCTCTCTACTTATCTCCGCCCAGATTGTGCTGTTCATCAAAATATTTGAGCCTCGTACGGATAATAATTACCGCGCTATATCTTCGTTCAAGTCTGAATCCTCTGGTTCCGGTCGACGTCAAGTATTTTGGGACGGCAAATCATCAGCTGACTACTGTGTAGTTTCTCCTAATGTCTTCATTTGTGTCGGACGCACTGATGCTAATGGCAATGATTTCCCTCCTTTCACTGCAGCTAGTATTTCAACTTACTAAATGACTATCCCCGCAGCAGAACTTTTTAGCGGAGATCCACTCGGCATTCCTGCAGTAGCAGCTGGTGGATTCAATTTAGATCTCTGGGAACTTCAAGTTAAATCGCGGAGGGAATTTAACATATGAGATTTACGATTGGGGTTTGTTGATACACCGTGAAGCTGAATTGTCAATGGAGAAATAGTCGATTTTTATCGCATTGTACATGTAGTTTGTATTACCCGCCACGTTACTTAAAAATAAGTTTCAATTTTTACACGCTTTCTCAATTATACAGTGCGCACAACTTAGTTCCAACTACTAAATTTAATAAAATTTAAAATTACTACTTCTCATCCAAAAAAGCAATAAATACCAAATCTAATTGTAAAATAATAGAACTACTTGAGTTAAACAAAACTATGCTTTCTGATTTTTTTATATATAATAATTTTTAATGTAGTAGTAAAAATAATTTTATTATTAAATTAAAAAGTTGGCCACTCCTATATAAAATTAATACAAATAATTTTTCTTATTATATATTTATTAATAAAATTATCAAATTGATATACATGTATGATTAACATCTAAAATTTGGCCACTTGGTTGGGACTAAGTTGTACGCACTGTAGCAATAAATTTCTTATGTGCATCTATTTTAAATCCACTCATTCTCGTTTTGTTGTCCTTCAGTATTTTGTCCTGCATAATTCACATGATCGATAATTAACGTTAACGATAACCTAACGCTAAAGTTAAAAATCCTTTGATTAAGTAGTGTGTAGAAAAGGCCAGATATCTCAAAAAAGAAATTCGCGTATTTCTCTTTTGGTTTTATCTGAAAATAAATTCAGATAATAAAAAAAGCAATATTTTTCAATCAAAATTATAAATGACTATTTAAAGTAACTAATTTTTCTAAGAATCTCAACAACTAATTGATCAAAAGCGTCAGAAAATTCTCTGAAAAGTTGTATAAGAATGAATACTCAACTAAGGAACCGAATATTTGTTATTAACCTTTACCAAAGGTCTAACTCCATTCCATTCAATATATTCCCAAAACATTACCGATATTTCATCAAATTTTACTGTTTGGAACCACACAACCTTCTAAGTTTTTTTTCAAAAGATTTTCGCCAACTACAATCATGAAACTCCATCACTATCGAGAATCTAATTTTGAAAAAATGAATTAGATTGAAAAGCAATATGCTTACACTTATATAAGGTGTTCATTTTACCTCGTTTCTAAACTCGGATGTAATTTGTGTAATGATTTCAACACAACTTCTTTGTCTTTATCACTTTGTTTGAATTTATTTTCTTCATGATTCCACACGTTATCTAACCAGGATGCTTTATGAATTGATCCGAAACCTCCATTTACAAGAGGTTCAACATCGGTAAATCTTTCAAAAGGGATCCATTCGAATTTATCATTGATTTTCGCGCATTCATTTATTAAACTG